ATAACCTTTTATGCTGCTTTGGGCCACACCCAGTGTGCGTTTGGTTTCAGCCACCCTGCAGCTGACCCTTGGCCTGCAGTGATTCAGGGCTGGGCTGGGCTGGGCTGGGAAGACGGCCTTTGAAGGCAGGAATGTCTCAGTGTCTCTCTGTCTCTGTCTCTGTCTCACACATCAGATAGGAGCCCATGGCAGGAAGAGGGGCGTCTGGACCAGGTCTGGCTTCTGTCTCCCACCTCCACTGCTCCTACGGATATGATCTTGGTCAAGTCACTTCCTCTGCACCAAATGGGGACAACAATCTCCAGCAGAGTAAGGGATGGGACAGGCAGCAAGCCATTCCACTGTCAGACATTAAGAAATAAACACAATGGGATGTTAAACCCAGAGGCAACTAAATGCTTTTCGGGGGCGGAGAATTCGCAGCCCTTGGAGCCCCATCCTGTGGCATCAGGCCCGCTAAGCATGCATGAGATCGCAGTAGAATCAATGCCACCCCCTACTTTGTGCCCCAGCGGGCTGGCCTGCCACACCTGAGAAGGCCTGCTGTGGCTTTGATGTGGGCCCAGCCGTATGGGACCGGGCAGGATAGGACAAGTGACAGGGGGTAAACCTGGCCCAGCCCATGGGCGAGGGCCTCCCAGTGGTGAGGGCCCGCCGTGGTCTGCATTTCCAGGCAAGTGTCTGCTTGTGGGGAAAATATGACTCCCGTTCTCTGAACTACCAAGTCCTTAGACTCATGCGTGCACTGATAGACACATGCACACGTTCATGCACAGATGCAGTTAAACACCCAGATGCATGCGTGTGTGCACATCACAGCAGTGCATGGACACATATGGACACCCGATGAATGCAGTGCTCGTGCACAGATTTGCACACACAGTGCACTCGTTTGCACAAGCTTCACCCACATGTATGCGTGCACACTCCCACACCTGTGGCAAAGGGAGATACGTGCCACCTGGCTTGGCGCCGCCCCCACCCCCACTTCTCTAACTTTCCCTTCATGGCAACAGGTCTGGAAGAACCTTGGCAGTGGAGATAAGGTGCTGGGGCGGGGCAGGGCGGAGACACAAGTTTGGAAAGGAGGAGCAGAAGGTCATTGATGTTCATGCTGCTTCTCGCAAACTTCCTCAGTGGAGGCCAGCAGCCCCCTTTCCGGGGGGCGCCCACTTAGTTTCCTGAGCCTCGTTTTCCTTTTCTGTAAAGTGGGGGTGATAATGGTCTTGATACCTCCCCTTCCGGGCCGAGATGGGATCCAGGTGAGATGGGTGTGAAGGAGCTTTCATCATCCTGGGCGTCATCTGTGGGAGCCTGGGGCGGGAAGCCCCTGAGACAGGGCTGGGTCAGCTCCCAGCTCCATCACCCCCCAGCTCTGTGACCTCAGGAGGTTTCTTTGCTTCTCTGCCTCAACCCTCCCTCTGGGATGGGGAGCAGGGCGGCGCCTGCCTGCCAAGTTCACACAAGGGAAGCGCTGGAATGATGCCTGGCACGTAGCAGGCACCCCAAAACTGAGTTGTTTTTGCCATGGAGGTGGCTGTGAGCTAAAGGAGAGTCGTCACCAGGCCTCTCGAGGCCCCCTGCTTCCTCCTGGGCTGAGAGCCGTCCCTTGTCCCTCAGGTGTGGGGCCAGGCCCCAGGCTTCGAAGGGAGAGTGCTGGGCGTGGCCAGAGGGGCCAGGACTGCTGATGAGAGTCGGGTCCTGTTGACTCAGCAGCCGTGGCTGTGACCAGTCCCCTCGCCCGCCAGCCCACCATGGGCCCTCAGCCCCGAGGCTGGTTTGTCCCACCCCTTGGTTTTCACTCACCTGTCCCCTCCTCTCCATCCCCCCTGCCCTCCTTCAGCCCAGGTGACCATCAGATGCTCTCCTGTTCCACCCTTCCTTCTCTCAGCAGTCAGAGGAATCCACCAGAAAGGGAAACTCGCTCCTCCGGCCGCTTTAACCCCTGCAGCAGCTCCCTGCTGCCCTCAGAGGCCGAGCTCTGTTACGTGGCTCCTGAGGGGATCTGAGTGCTGCCTCCTCGCCCCGCTCTTCCCGTGCTCTGGCCTCGCCCAGCACGGGCAGCCATTCGTCAAACGACCTCTGGTTGTCTCTACGTGGGGCAATGTGTTCGTCACGACAGGTAGGCTGTGCTCTGTAAGAAAAAGCCCCACCAGCTCTGTGGTTCGCTCTCAAGTTTATTTGTCTGTCACACTATCTATCCAACGTGAGTCAGTGGGGGATATGCTCTGCTCCACACTGTTCCCTGGGGACCCAGGATGGTGGAAGCTGCGCCATCTGGAACATGTGGCCTTTGCATCCCTTAGGCCAAAGGCAAGATTCTGGGGGTCACAGTCCAGGTCACAGCCTTCTGCCCAGGATCCTCTGGTTAGAACTAGCACTGTGGGGGCCTGACCGCCAGGAGGCTGGATGTGGGAAGAGCAGTGGAGTAGCTGATGAACGTCACCACTGGCCACGGACGGGGCCCCCGCCCCGCTGCTGCCCAAGGTGAAGCAGGGTTGGGGGGCCTGGAGCTGAGCCTGCTGACTTGCTCCCTACTTGCCCATCCCCAGCCCAGGCCACCTCATGGCCAAGACACGAGGCAGGTCATTGTCCTCGCTCTTCTTTTCACTCAGGACCCGGCGCAGAGAAAAGCCGTGCTGCTCCTTAGCAAGGGGTGGCCTTCATCGTACAGACGCTGACTGAATCCCTTTCCAATTCTGCTTCCCTTGTCGAATTGACCACTGGGAAGCTCGGACCCAAGTCTGAGGTCCAGCTCCTCTGTGTGGGGGACCTGACAGCACACCTTCCGTGGTTAACTCCTCTGCTTTCAGGGCTCTCTGTTTGTTCCTGTGTTTCCCCTCTGTCCCCATTTCCTCACGGTGCCTTTTCCGTTCCCTTCTGTCCTGGGTTCTCTATTCCCATAAGGCTTCTTACGTCCTTTCTGGGGTCAGATGGACATTAGTCAGTCGGTCCCTGCGTTCCGTGCTGCTTCCTGTAGCTCTGGCAAGTGCAGGCAGGGTTCTGGGCAAAGCTCCCCAACAGAGTTGAGATACCTGGGCTTGATGGGGCAGACGGGCCCCACGAGGCCGACGGGCTCCCCGTGCTGGGTAAACGGCTGAGTGCTGTGACCGCTTGAGGTCAACAGCCAGACCCTGTGCCTTTGAACTGAACACAGAGAAGAGCCTCGAGGCCGGCCACCTGGGCTGGGCAAGCGCCATCTTTGTCCTGACCACGTGGGCGCCCAGCAGACGTGCCTTCCCTGGGAAGTGCCTGGGGCAGCGGCCGCGGCCAGTGTTCCCCTGCTGGGCATCCCTGGAGCAGAGCCCCAAGCCTTTCTTGAGGAGGCTGCAAGCTGGTAGAGAAGATGAGAGCAGACGCAGACTCCGAATCAGGACAGTGTCGGGGACACGGGCAGGGGGAGACGGGAGAGCAAGGCCCTGGACTCGGGGTATCTAGGAAGGGGGGAGGGGGCTTGGCGCTGGGGGGCAGGGAGCACATTGGGACTTGTGGAGACGGGTACAGTGGGTAGGGAGCTAGAAGGGCAAGCCAAACAGAGGGAAGAGCAAGGGCAGAGGCCCAGAGGACTGGAACTGCAAGAGCAGGGATGGGGAAGCTGGGTGGTGATCTTTATCTGTAAGGTACTGTTAGAAAATAAGCAAGAAAAAAGTGAATCTTGCAGTATGGGGTGGGACCCAGCCAGGAGGCCTTGACCCTGTAGGGCAGCAAAGAATGGGGAGCATCGAAGGGTGGGCTAAGGTGGTGAAGAATACAGCCAGGCTTGGTGTCCAGAAGGCCCCTCTGGCCCACATGGGCAGCGTGGATGGGGGCAGTGGGGTCAGAGAGACTGGGGGCTGTAGAGTGACCTGAGCAGCGGCCGGCGAGAGGAGGCCACCTGATGTCACGTGGTATCCTGCGTTCAGCCACTGAAGAGACGTACACTCTCTTCCAGACCGTTAGTCACCTGGCCCCGCTCAGCCTGGAGCTGTGTTCTCTTCACGCACATCGGCTGGTTTACGTGTGTGTGTATATACATTTCTTTCTTTCTAACATCTCCCAGCTGATCTTACTAAACAATATGTAGTTCCCCAAACATCCATATTTGCTTCTGTCTCAGGCCTTTTCTCAGGCTGTTTCATCTGCGTAGGACACCTTCCCCCAGCCCTCCCTTGTCCTGCCTGCCTGGCCAACCCCTACTTATCCTTCAGATCACAGTTCACATGTCACTGCCTCTGGGAAGCCCTCCCTGACAGCTATGCACTAGCCTCCATTATTACCTATGGTACACTGGGTCCCAGTGGCCCAGACTCCCTAGTGGCCTCGCTCATAGGACTCCCCATTCCTGTAAGGCTGGGCTCAGGCTTACTGGCTCTGAACCCCTGGGGCCTGGCTCAGGGCCTAGTCACACGGTGGGGCTCAGTAAATATTGGGTGAACAAATACAAGGCTGGATGAGGAGCAAGGGAAGCTCAAGGTGCCTGGATGAGAAGAGTGGTAGTGATTATTACTGTTGATCAAGGGGTCTTAACGTCTCGTCTAATTTAATCCTCATGACAAGTCTGTGAGACAGATACTTTCATTATCCGCATTTCACAGGGGAAATTGAGAAGTTAAGTCACTTGCCCACCCGGTTGCCAAGAGGCAGAGCTGGAATCGGAGCCAGGCGGGCTTGCTCCAGAGGACACGGTGTGACCGCGTGGCTGGGCCGTGCGGGGCGGGTGGCTGGGCTGTCTGGTGAGATGGTGGTAGGGAGGGAACGTGGTGAGCTCGCCATGGTTTTTCTGCCTTTTGGGGTGCAAACTTGCAGAGATGAAAAGCAAACCAGTCAGCAGCAATTATACGCTGTCTCACCAGGTCCATGGAACTCACCACAATTGTAGCATGTACACTTGGTTGCCCTTCACAGCATGTCGCTGTCCATGTGGGACCAACTGCTGTCCTGTGTTCTCGAGGTGAGCTCCCCTGTGTCCCGCTGTCAGGGCAGCAAGTCTCACGCCTCTTTGTCCCGTCTGTCCCCCGCAGATGTCATGGCACCCCCAGTACCGGAGCTCCAAGTTCCGCCACGTCTTTGGCAAACCTGCCAGCAAGGAGAACTGCTACGACGCGGTGCCCATCACCCGCAGCGTCCACGACAACCACTTCTGCGCCGTGAACCCCCAGTTCATTGCAGTCGTGACTGAGTGCGCTGGGGGGGGGGCCTTCCTCGTCATCCCCCTGCACCAGGTAAGGACGCCTCGGGCCCAGGCAGCCCTCTGCAGGCAGCACAGGACAGAGGGGGAGCAGAAAGAGCCAGGTTTTTGGTCTCATACGTGGGGTCAAGTCCTAGCCCTACGTGTGACCAGCCGCGTGACCTGAGTAAGTCATTCACCTCTGTGAGCCTGCTTTCCTCACCGGGAAAAATATATCCGCCCGGGATTTCAGCTTCTAAGTGTTGCCTTGCTACTCCTAGGGCCTCCCCTCCACCCCACTGCAAAATGATTTACCTCTGATTAAAAAATAATTTTTAATGCATTGCTGAGCTCATAAGACATTGGGGAAATTTCCAAAGCCAGCTTCTCTCACCCAAAAAGGAAACAAACCTTGAGCCAAAATCTAAGTCAGAGCGGTAAGCAGTAAGAGAGCAGGAAGAACAGGCTTGTTCTGCAGGCACGTGTGGACGGGGAAGGTGAGCCATCTGCATCTGCTGATGTTTAACCGTTTTCCACCTCCCTGAGGGTGGTTTCACATAGATTAACCTAGAAGCAGATCTTTTCTGGAGCCTGAGTCTCTGCTAAGGCAGAACCTCCTGAGGGACTAAAGGGACCCAAGGCTGGTGGTCCCAGCTTGCCTCTGGGTCGCAGCAGGAGCAGGTATGAAGTCTCCCAGAGGAGAGCGTTCCCCACGTGGACAGGATTCCCACAGAGAAGATCAGGGAAATTCGTAAGCAGAGACCACCAAGCATGTGAGCCAGCTCGGGTCAGAGTCAGCTGAGACAGCAAACAGCAGACTGAGACCCCAAAAGGACTTTCAAAGTTAAAATCATAAAGACAAATTCAAATCTCATAGGCCAGGCTTTCTGATCCCAATGAAATTGAGTTAGAAATCAATAACAAAAAATAAATTTTAAATTCCCATTCATTTAGAAATGTAAAAACACATTTCTGAATAACTTCTAGATCAGAAAAGAAATCAGAGTGGAAATTTAAAAATACTTGGAACAGAATGATAATGAAATCCATCACAAAACGTATGGGGTGGTGCTTCAGGGAGAATGTCCAGCGCTGGTGCTTGTTAGAAAAGAGGAAAGGCCGGAAATTAGCAACTAAACATTCAGCCTAAGAAGTTAGAAAAGGAACAACAGAATAAACCCAAAGAAAGTTTGAGGAAGGAACTAATAAAGAGCAGAAATCAGTGAAGGAGAATCTGAAGGTGGATTAGAGAAGCTCAGAAGAGCCGAAAGTTGGTTTCTAGGAAAGACTGACAGACGGAGAAATGGTCAAGAATAAAAGAGAGAAGGTGCAAATAGCGTAAGGAACACAAGAGGCAACACAGCGGCACAGAGTCAAAATAGAAGCCACTGATGGGAGCAATTTCATGACAATCTATTTGAAAACGTTGACAATATGGACACATTCCTAAAAGAGAGATCACTTGTCAGTACAGATTCAAGTAGAAATAGAAAGCCTGAATAGTCCTGTAGCTATTTTTAAAATTGAGTAATAAAAGTCTCTCTTAAAGAAAACAGCAGAAGGAAAAGGCGAGCCATGGAGTGTGAAAGGATATTTGCACAATAAACGTGGCAAAGTGCTCATTTCCTGAATGTATAAAATGGACGGGGGGAAAATACCCTGAACAGGTTTTTTTCATAGCAGAAAAAAATCAAAGTGGTCACTAAACATTTGAAAAAGTGCCCAACCTCATTAGTAAACCAAAGCGAGACACAACTGCAGCCACCAGATTGACAGAAATGGAAAAATCTAGCAATAGTAAGTGATGAGGAGGCTATGGAGCTGCGCAGACTCTCAGACACCCCTGGGGCCGGGTAGACCAGCACGTGGGTTTTGGAACAAAGTATGACAGTTTCTACTGAAGAGGAAAATACACACCCGCTAAGGTCAGAGAGTCCGCTCTAGGTGCACACGTGTGGACCGGGATAATGGTGACCCCCAAAGAAGGGAGGGAGTTAGGATTGCGAGGTATCCCGTGGGGGCGGGGGGGTCTCCTTTGTGCTTGTAATAGTTCGTGTCTTGACCTGGGAGGGTGGCAGTTACATGGGTAATTTATTTTCCAGCAATTCATTAAGCTGAGCGTTTACATTTTATGCACTTTTTGGGGTTATATTTCACACAATCACATACATAAGGATGACGCTACATCCATGTGGGTTTATAGGCAATTTCCATGTAACTTTTTTTTTAACTCAAAGCTTTATTTATTTATTTGGTGAGGAAGATTGGCCCTGAGCTAACATCTCTGCCCATCTTCCTCAGTTTTATGTGGGACGCCACCACAGCATGGCTTGACAAGTGGTGCTAGGTCCGTACCCAGGATCCGCGCCCATGAACCCTGGGCTGCCAAAGTGAAGTACGCAAACTTGACCACTACACCACCAGGCCGGTCCCTCCATGTAATGTTCAAGGAAGTGATTGTTCCAATCTTTTGCAAACACTTCCAGAAAACAGGAAAAGAGGGACTTCTCCCTCATTCTGTGAGGCCAAACCTGACAAGGACAGAGCAAGAAAGAAAAATTACAGGCCAGTCTCACTCAAGGTGTATCCAAAATGACTAGCAAGCATTATCTAGTAGTGAATAAAAAAAGGATACATTCTGACCATGTTGGATTTATTCCAGAATCTAAGGATGGTTTAATGTTAGTAAATCTATAACTGGAGATCACTTTATTAACGGATGAAGGGAGAAGAACCATATGGTCATCTCCACAGATGCAGAAAAAGCATTTAATAAAGCACAATACCCATTCGTGATAAAAATTCTTAACCAACCAGAACAAGGGGATTTCACTAACACATAGGAAACAGAATTTTTAGAACTTTGTATTTTGAAAGAATCTCAACCATACATAAAATATACAAAAATAGTTGAATGAACTGATTTTTCTTCACCTGGATTCACCAGTTGTTAACATTCTGCCAAATTTACCTTTGATCTATGTTTCTCCCCCATCTATACGTCTGTGTGTGTGTGTATATAGAAATTTTGTTTCTGTTCGAGAATCCAACTAGGGATTGTGCACTGTATTTGGTTGTCATATCTCTCAGTCTTCTTTGTTTCATGATACTGACATTTTTAAGCGGTAAAGGCCAGCTGTTTTGTAGAATGTTCCTAAATTTGGATTTCCCAAATTGTTTCCCTGTGGTTAGATTCATGTTGCGCATTTTGTCAAGAATTTTACACAGTGACGCTGCATCCTCAGTTCATTCCATCAGGCGACACGTGATGTCAGCAAACTCATCACTGGCGATATTGGTGACGTTTGACCTCTGTTAATTAGTGCAAACATCATTTATAAAGAAGGAATGTCAGAAACAGCCCTTTAAAATCAGCAATAAGATAAAAGGTCCAGTCCTGCACTGTAAGACTAGAAAAATAAGTTAAAGGTATAATGATTAAAAAGGAAGATGGGCCGACCCCATGGTGTAGTGGTTAAGTTCAGCACATTCTGCTTTGGCAGCCTGGGTTTGCTTGTTTGGATCCCAGGCGTGGACCTACAGCACTCGTCAGCCATGCTATGGCGGCAACCTGCATGTAAAGTAGAGGAAGATTGACACAGATGTTAGCTCAGGGCCAATCTTCCTTAGCAAAAAAATAAGTAAATAAAATAAAATAAAAAGGAAGAAATAAGGACCAGCCTCATGGCCTAGTGGTTTCTGGGTACAGACCTATACCACTCGTCGGCAGCCATGCTGTGGTGGTGACCCACATACAAAATAGAGGAAGATTGACACAGATGTTAGCATAAGGTGAATCTTCCTCAGAAGAAAAAAAAAAAAGGAAGAAATAAAACTGCAATTCTTTACAGATCTGATTGTCTAAATAGAGATCCAAAAGAACATATAGTCTAATTATTGGAAAAATAAGAGTGTTTGGAAGGTAGCTGGATACAAAAATCCAAATACAAAACTGAATTGCATTTTTACATATCAAGAAGGCATAGAAAATATAAACATTTGCAATAGAATAAAAGAAAATTGAATACCTAGGAATAAACAAGCAAAACTTAGAAAGAGAAAATTACAGTGTTATTGAAAGAGTAATATTAAAGATGACCTAAGTAGGAATATGTATCATATTCATGAATAGCCACTTTTTCTCCCTCCCCCAAATTTGCACAGTGTTCTCCTGTGTAGGACATATTCCACAGCGTATTCCTTTCTTAGGATACCATGCCCTGGGTACTGAATCAGACATGTGTGTCCCTCCGCCAGTACCTCCCAATGTACTTGGAATAGGAGGGAAAAAAGAGCCAGGACTTTCTTTACTATCTGTCACTTTGTGGGCATGCAGTCGGCGCTCATAAATTTTCATTACTGAACAAATTACCTAATAATTGTTCATCCAGATAAACAGGGATAGCGTCATTGCCAAAGGGAACAGCACGAGCAAAGGCATGGCAGTGGGACCGTATGTGAATCTTTAGAGAACAGTGCAGAGAGCAAGCTGTGAACAGGAGGAAGGAAATACCCTGGGGACGTGGATGGGGACCGGATGAGAAAGGCCTTGAATGCCAGGGGTGAGAAGTGTGAACTGTATTCTAGAGAGAGGGAATTTTTCAAGCTGGGGTGGGGCAAGTGTAAAATGCGATTTACAGAAAGACTTGCAGGTCAGCGCTGGAAGGACCCCTAGACATGGCCCCGTTGGGCTCCTTGTTGCTCCCAGGCTCTGGGTGCATTTAAAAGATTCTGTCCACCAAAAAAACTGCATTCTTAAATAATTAACGTGTTTTCCTGATTTTTATTACTCAGGCTCTTTCAGGACTGTCACAGTTTCCAACTCACATGAACTACTCAGTATAAATAGGTACTAACAGCTGATATTAAGAAAATAAATTGGTTTGATGTGATGGAGTGAGACCTGGGTGGAGAGAGGGGACCTAGTTTAGAGAGGCTGATCAGAGAAGGCCTTTCTGGGGAGGTAACATTAGAGCACAGAGCCACTTGAAGCTCCAGGGGCAGAGCGGTCAGGCAGCATGAATAGCACGTGCAAAGGCCCTGAGGTGGGAATGG